TGGGTGGGGGTTGTGTGTGTGGAGGGGGAGAGGGGGAGAGTGTGCATGGTGTGGGTTGGGGTTGTGGGTGTGTGGAGAGGGGGTTTGGATGGGGTTGGTAGGTAAGAGTTTTACGGCACTTGCAACACAATAAGGTCATATAAGTTCCGAAGATTAGAAGTGTAACAAGAGAGTAACAAACATCAAAAAGAAGAAGGATCGAGGGATAAGGACGATAGATGTTTGATAGGAAAGAAGGAGCAAACCACACCAGAGCACCCGCCAACCACCAACGCATATATTACATGTATGTGTAGCTCATGTGTATATTATGCGTGCGGAAGAGAGGATAATAATGTGGGACAATTGTGCGTTGAATAACCCCTGCTACACAGTAACCAGTAACCAAACTCAAGTCTTCTGCGTTTGATGGAGAGACGCTTACCACATTATGAAGGCCAGAACTCTGTGCTCTAAAAGTAGACTCATACATGATAAGCTTACACACTTATATGTTATATCGCATCTTATCTTGTTTTACTGTGTGCAGCATAGGCCTTCACCATTAACAGGCATCAATGCTATTCCTTACCTTTGGACAGAACACTTGGACTCTGCCTTGAACAGACCTTCAAATACAAGTATTAATTCTGGTGTAGACCGTACAATACTAGCTTTGGGCTACATGTACTATACAAACTTTTACACACAATGTACATGTACTGTAGAAACCTTTGTGTAAATGAGACACCGGCCCAAACTCAAACAATGAGGATATTCTATCTCTCTTGCCCTTTTTAACTCCCAGTGGAGCATAGGCGATCAATAACATTTCTCCAGCGAAGCCTGTCCTGTGCATCCTTTTCTGGCTGTTTCCTAAAATTCCCCGCCTTTTCCATTTTCGCTGTACCGCTCGCCTCCACGTCATCTTTGGTCTTCCTTTCTTACGTTTTCCTTGTGGATTCCACGTCAAAGCCTGTCTGATGATGCTTGTCGGGGGTCTCCTCCGGGTGTGTCCAATCCATTTCCAAATGAGGATACAATTGCATTCATACAGCATACGGTATGGCACCGCTCTACAACATGCTCTATGCGCTTGACAGCTACTATTACCCCCAGAAGACCCTAGAAAACGACCCAAGCACATTCTTGGCTTCTTAGTACGCATACAGAGTAACCTGTGGATTGCACCCGCTAAAACACTAAGCAATTTGTCAACAAGATCACTCGCTACCTTAGAATAACAAAGTTCTATCTAGACTAACTTTTCTGGCCGTTTTGAGTTACAAAGACCATGAGGTCAGAAACACAATGTTCTGTGCGCTCTATGAAAATCGTAAGATTACACGGAATCGTTATCAAGATATTCAAAGAATTGCATTCGAAAAAGCTTGGAATGATGTGAAACTCAAATTTTGTGATGTTAAATTCCTAAAAACTAGGTACTGAGCTGATAGAACTTTGTAATTCTAAAGTAGCAAACTGTCAAACACTCAAGCAATGGCGGCACACCTCTTCCTGCTTGTACCGATCCAGCAAGAGTTTCCGGTGACGCAACACGGGGGAGGAAACTCCATTCAGAAATTGTCTTTCCTTTGGGGTGCCCGACTTGTTCGCAAACAGCAGTGGCTCGGAGAAATGACGCCTGGAGGTAGAACTACTGGTGGGCAGTCTATCTCGGCGTCCGGGTTGTGACGTGGCACGGCCCAGTGGGCGGCCTGGCATGACAACAGGGACATACGGAGGCGGGTTGTTGCCAGACGTGGTGCGGGACAGCTTCTCTGACGAGGCCATTGCCTTCTCAATGCGAGACACGTTCTTCATTGTGTCTTTGATGAACTGGCGATTTTCCTGAAAGAATTAAGGGTATGGAAATAATAATGATAATGGCACCATGCAGACAATTTGGAGGAAAAAAAGATGGGGGG